ACTCCTGGGAATACATGTACCCCAGGTTTGGAATGCCTGCTTTACTTGTTTGTGTACTTCTTAATTTCAGCATCTATTTTGTTTTGGTTACTTTTTATATCAATTATACATATAACCAACGATCCCTACTTTCTGTTAAAATCTTAATTTTTTCTTTCTATTCATATAATTCATTTTACCTATCAAAAATATTTCTAATCAATTTTATTTCATTATGTCATTATATAAAGTAAAAGTACGTACTCCTCTCCTGATGCATCCCTTTTCAATAAAAGGCAGAAATCCCAATTCAAGTTTAAAATGTATATGAATTTTCGTTTAAAAAATACTTTGAAGATAGAAACTGTTATTTTTAGAGCAAAATTGTTGGAGAAGGCATGTGTTGGCATGTAAGTTATATAATAACATTCGAACGTTAATATAGCAATACATTTTGGTTATCACTGTTTTCGTCAAAATAGCTCAATCTTCGTGATTTAAGTAAAGAAACAAGAATAAAACAAAACTGAGTTATATAAAATTAGCCCATTATAATTCAAGTTTCGTGTTTCTTATAAATTAGTCACCTCTTTTTTGTTGTATGAAAGTCGTACAAAGATCGCTGTGGTACAATTGAATTAAAAAAAAGGGAAAGTGGTAGAAGTTTTTCTTTTTTTATTCTTTGAAGACGAATTGTGCATATTGTTGTGTTTTCAGATCGAACTGATTTCCCAACCAGTTTTTCTGACATAAATACCCATGAATGACTGCAGGTTCGGCCTAGTGATTTAAGTGGTCTTTGTGATCGAGAGTAGTCAGCTGAGTTTCCAGAGTTAATATGGGAATACGAGTCTTGGCACTTTAAATAAAATGAACAAAATCTTTATTCACTACAACACAAAAACTGAGTGCATACCCACATGCTATGGCAAACAATTCTCACACCAAGTCATGCAACCGTTAATCTCGTAAGAAGGATTGCCTCAACACTAAATGCTGAATGAACTTTAAATGGTCTTCTTTCTGCAAAAATGGGAGTAAACTGATGCACAGAATGAGCCAGGATTCCAAAGATCAATTTGTTCTTTTTTGTCCAGTGTACAGTGTCACCTCTTGACTTCTGTTCCCTGACAGGTTCAGTTGACATCATATTTCGGTCAACAAATGGTATTCCAGTTCTAAGTAGTTTTAACCCAGGCTCAAAACACACTGAAATATCCTTGTGGGCAGAAGCTGTCATGTAACAAAAGAACAAAGGCTAGGTGACTAGAACAAGATAATATTAGACATCATGAACCACGTGTTGTTGCCATGACAGTGCAGAAACTAAATAATTTATAATTTAAAATACATTAATATATCACTATAGATGGTATGCCTGCATACCACAATATTACATTTGCTTTAACAGTGCTACTTGTAAGTCACAGATTTTGTCTTGAAATGATATTTGTTTTCCATCTCTTATTTTTCTTTTCTCAAGTCTTATTAGTTCAGTATTTTATCTGCTAAAAATGTTACCTCTTTTAGTTTCAGAAAAGGCGAATACCGATAGTTAATTGCGCTTTATAACAATGATGTTCCAAGACCCTGTGCTCTCCTTCAAATCACTTTGTGTTTTTTCGATTATTGTTCGTCTGTTGGCCACAGTTACTACTACTTCCCGACGAGCAATTTAAAATTAATTATAACAAGCTTTTGCGGACGTCGAGGGTAACTTTACATCACACATCTCGACGAGATTTCTACAGGACGCCCACTATATGTAGACGTTTGTTTCCAAGATCATGTATAAACAGACCAGAGACAAAAGGTCATTGGAGCTACATCGAATGTCTACGTTGTCGAATGCAAATACTGTGATTCCAGTTGGTTCATCCATTTTATTCATGAAAACAGCTGTTGATGTCGGTATGTATGGAAGATTGTGAGTCTTCGTCAGCTTCAAATCCTTGTTTATTATCTTGTTAACACTACCAACAACTTCATCACAATAGTTTTTGGTTGGAGTGTACTATTTCGAAATCATAGCATTCACTTAGCATATGAGAACTTTTTTCCGGAATGATTTGTAGTTTTATCTGTCACTGCCGCCCTGATGCTCTACTTGGCAAGTTTTTCAGCTTTTATGGGAAAAAAAGAAAGATTCTTCTTTGGCATGTTGCGTTATTTGATGTACATTGATTAACAATTTCGCTATGTGAATATTTATTTTCGGGCTTTTTAAAAATCTCTAGCCATGAGCGTGTAGTGGCATTACATTAATGAATGATCGAAAAATCGCCATGAACAAAATGTATTTGTGCCAAACATCTCATCAGTTTCACCAAGGCTCGCACCTGTGTTGACATATGCAAATGATTCTTATAAAGTCTGTCAAATCTTTTGTACAAGTTACGAGATGTTACTGAGAAATAAGTATACAAATTCCAGTTCTGGCGACATGATTGATTATTAGATATTCTGTCGCACGATAAAAGTTTCGTTGTACGATTTTACTGGTTGCAAGACGACCTCGTTTTTCTCCTCGTGTATTGCCTTCTTTTGATTGAAGTTATAATCTAAATATGGCGTATATTTCAAAGAAAGCAAGACACTGCCAGCAACAAAAAAGTATCTTGTTTTCTTATGACTTTCGAAGTAATACATAAAAAAATCATCTTATGCAAATATGTGTAAACAAATTAACCTGATAAACTGTTCTACCTGTTGTCCAAAATTTTAAGTAATATTACTTGAAACTTCTTTTTTACAGTTCTCTTGCGATACTCTTTCTTGGTAATATCCAATAAGCACGGATTTTCCTGAAACCTTTAGACAATGGTTTTTGTTGCGTATTTGTGTCCTCGCGTCCGTGATTCGATTGGTAGCGTTTCGTCCAAATTCATGACGTTTTACTCGCTGATTTCCTGTTTTAGAAACCGACATGGTGGGCATATGATAAATTTTTCGAAACTCGTGTCGTACAGCAAAATAAGATGGGCACACGATCGCTTTTCCAAAAAACCTTGTTATAACCTAGGACAAAAATCGATCTTGTGATTAAACTTTAGTAATTCAACTTTTTAATTTTTTAAAATAAATATAAGTGAATTCATACATAGTAGTTTGTTGCGGAGTATTTCAAAATTGAAGGTTTTTTCGTTCATTATTCGGCACATATTTGAGCTTCACATATATATATATATACACGTATGCTTCTTTTTTGCGCGAATTATTTAACTTGTCAAACAGTAGCTGGAGATTTCATAATCTCGCTCAAAACTGCATAGCATTACAGAGCTTTGAACCTCGTAACATATATACTTCAAATGTTTGGTTTAAAACTCCCCATGGAATTTGTTCGACATCTTTACAGCTTCTGGGTTATATTATATGAAATTCATAATTAGGAAGTTCAGTAGCTTTGCAAGAACAACATAATTTTGAACGTTTCTTGAATGTGAAAGATCTCGTTTTCATCAAAGTTGCGTTCGGTATATTCTTATCTCTAATTCCTCTGCTTGTTCTTTCAAACTCTAAATTGACTACGATGTACCGGATTATGTAAGTAGTTTTAATAAATGCATAGTTTCAAACACTCGCATGGAATTCGAAACGACTAAGATATTCCATAGCTACTGTGCCGAAACTGTTGTATTTTAATTGTTGTTTTATTAAGAAGAATGAATGCATTATTATTTATCTGATTAAAGCAACAAATAAAACCTCGCTGTCACTTACAGTTTTGTACCAAATTTCCTATAGAGGTATGACGTACCCAATGAATGACGAAATAACGTCCACTTTTGATGTGCTAATCCAGTAGAAGTGTATCTGAATCGATAGTGTGATTTTTAAAAAGTCGAAATTCAAACAGGAAATAAATAAGAAAATCAATTTTACAATAAATAATTATATTATTTTATGAGAATATCAAATCATCCGTCTTTTTACTACAAAAAAAAAACTATTTTCACTGAGCTACTTTTTTAAGTCTATGTATTGTATTCCTTGTTTGGTTAACTTAAAACATATACAAGTCTTCTTACTTTGAATCTGTAATACTGTTTGTTTGTTTCAATGTCTCTATGTTGCTTTTATATATTCACTTTCTATAATTATTTTTTTTCAAAAAGATCGATAGGGGTTTTAAAAAGCTGAAAATCAGCGAAATTTATCTTGTCTTCCTTGGCATAGGTTTCATAACTGAATTGCAATTGCCTGTTGCATGACAAGGGAATGACATTTCGGCTTCTACACTAAGCCTTCTTCAGGTCACTGTAGATATTTGTGTTGTGTTTTATAAAGTTGCAGTCCATTAAAGCTCTCACACTTACTATGACTACTCTGCCTAAAGTTATAATGAAACATCATATGAAAACTAATGTTTATTAAACGTACCGCTAAAGATGTGTTGATATTACTATGGAGATATAGAACATTTAAGTGCTCAATATAATGAGAATGACTCTTCTTTCTTGTTTTTGTGAAAAAAGCAAACTTTATTCATCACAATAAAAACAAACATAAAGATTACAGTACATATAAAATCAAAAGTTGAAAGCGAAAATTTGAAAAGCGACTTAGTACCAATTGAAAATCAAATACGAATTATCGCATACACAACATTCCAAAAAAAAAAGTAATTAGACGGTCATTATTCACACTTTGTAAGTTTTCTTCCATTTATTTTCACTCTTGTGTCTTCAGGCTAGGAAGCACTGAATAGCTACGGTTAAGTACTCAAATGTTTAAATCTTGGAAAATGGGATAAGAGTAAATATGGCATTTGGGAAAGCTAATTTCTGCAGTTGGGCAAGTATAACACCTAAAACAAAAAGTGTTCTATGTAATTGTAAATATTCCTGAGAACTGTATACTGTAGGCTGAGGTATCAAGGACCTTCACATACGACCTTTGTAGTCATGTTGAAACTATAAATCGTTGAATCAGTAAAATAGGGATGATAAGGCAGTAATGACAATTAAACTGCTTTCATAACTTTAGGTGCTGATCTTGCCGTAACCTAAAGAAGAAACCTGTACTACGGTGTTAAAAGAACTAAGAAAATCAAAAATCAGAAAGTAATTCACTTTGTCAGAAATAACTTGAGGACTTTTTTTTTATAAGGACGACATTAATCGCTTGCTGAAGTAAAAATATTCTGATGCAAAATTTTGAAATAGGTTATTGTTTCCGAGTCAAACTACGCTTAAGCCATTCACTCCTTGCTATACGTAAACAGTTACTTACTAGAAAGAACAATTAAGCAATGAGGTTTTACAAGGGTTACGATATAATGATGAAGATATACCCCTTATAATGACTGTCTCACATCGTAGCTACAAATTAGCGGTTTTGTATATATGACGAGATGTTTGTTCTAAATCATTCTCATTGTAGTAAGAATGTAAAAAAATAGGACTAGACTGATAACCCTTGAATTACATTATTTCCATTTATAGCATTAATGCGATTGTGTTTTATGAATCTTTTAAAATAATCTTGCAGTTTCAAGTTTTCCAATACTTGATCAAGAAGTTTGAAGTTAAGAAACTCTTAAATGCTATTTGTTACAACTAGAAATCATGGACTACGTCAGTGAAAAACAACATATATTCACATACATAAACTATTGATTATATTGACTACGTTAAGACCCTAAGAAAGTGCATACCATTACCGTTTAAAAATCGTTAACAGAAAAACAAAATTACTTTTCGTTTGCACATTTAAGGAAGGATGTCATCGTGCTTTCAAAATCAATATGTAATCATTGTAATTAAAACATTACGTGAGAATTAAGTACAACGCTATGTCTAGCGACTGTGATCCTTTACTATTCAAAATATCACATATGCTAAACAAAATACTAAATTTTGGCGAGTTTATGCTTTGTAATTATCTTAAAAACATTAGAAAAAGTAACAATAATAAAATGTAGGCAAACAGCATTTCATTTCAATCGCTCTAAATTCTCCTGACATCTGTTTATTCTTAATCAGATTCATATACACTATAAGCTCAATTGAAATACTCTCTTTTTTTGACAAATATCAGCAGCTGAACCCGTTCTACTGACAAAGTAATGCACATGTAACTGAGAAGAAGTTGAATTACTAAGGTTCTTTAATAATAGAACTATACATTGTGGAATGTTCAACTGTACAAAAAAAGAGGATGTGACCAAAAAAAAATTTTTTTTATTCTTTCACTGAGAGGATGATAACCATTAACAACGACGAGGGTACGAAAATACCAAAAGCATCACTTTATTTGCATTGAAATGAGATGTGCAATGAAAAGAGAGTTTTACAAAATCCTAACTCTTGTGTCTTTCACATGTTCCTTTGGGTCTGTTTGAAAGTTTAATATTTAAAGACTTGCTGCAAATTATCACTCTCAAATAAACCCTCTTATGACTAGTACTGTAGGTACAGCGATGCTGGTACAGATGGCAGCACCATACGTGTACAATTGACTTTCAGCATGGGCTCTTTCTCTCCTTTTGAAATTAAAAGAAGAAGCAAACAAATTGTTTAGAAATGAACATCCTGAACATCAGTTGGTGTTTCTGGTTTGCTGTTTTCAGGCTTCAATCCATTGTTAGCCACCATCTTGTTGTTGCCACCTTTCCCAGTAGGAGATAAAGTATGTGGTTTCTGTGACGATGCTATGTTTGAAGCAATCATTTCTTCAATCTGTTCAGAACAATGACGTAAACAATCCTGAAAAGTTGTTCAAAAAAATATAAGGAGGATGACACAAAAGTGAAAAAAAAAGAAAAAAATGATGAAACTCTTTCGCTCTCTCTTAGTCATGTACGTTATCAGTAAAATATTTCTACAAATTATTTGCAAACAGTGAAAATGGTTAAAATTCTTAATAAACATATTATTTCAAATCACCTTAAATTAAATACCTGCAATAAACGATCTAAATAAAAGAATTTGGTTATCGTTGGCCAAGCAAGCAAATGGTATAGATAATATGGTAGAGAATTTTTAACGCAGTAGGGGTGGTGTGGATGAGTTATGAAGGGTGGGGTTGGGGAGTTAAGGAGATATAATTTAACATCTCGTCTGGGTTAAAGTAATGAATGGGTCGGTGTATTATTTCACTTCCTCTTAAACTGAATTTCAGATCAAAATATCTCCATGGAGCTGCCGAGAGCCGTCACTATTGTCGGTACTGACAAATGACTTTATTGGCAAAGGAAATGCACTTGTTGCTAGGCGCTGATCACTAATCCAAGTGATAAAAATGCTTGAACTTAAACTTCATTAGAAGGAAAGGATAATAACTAAGAATAATACAAATCATTATCGTACTTTATTAATAAACAAACAAAAAACACGGAGTTCTGGTTTCGAGAACAGTATGCTACAGCAGAAGATAGGAATTAACTTCTTTCAAAACATATACATAACAATGGGATTTCTATTTGAAATATTTCAAATTATGATTCGTAGCCTATGAGATAGTGACATCAATGTTGAGCAACTAAACCTTACCTTCGTACTATTACTCTAAGAAATTAATACGGCATTTACTTAGAGCTGCCCCCCCCCCAGTGGCACAGCGGCATGTCTGCAGAGTTACAACGCTAGAAACCGGGTTTCGATACCCGTGGTGGGCAGAGCACAGATAGCCTATTGTGTAGCTTTGTGCTTAACTTCAAACCAAACAAACATAGAGCCGTTCAAGAGCCAATGGCGATTGTTTGGCTTGGAATTGAGAACGTTTTGATATAAAAAAAAATAGTATAGTTGGGAATCACTAATCCAACTTCCTATTCTAAGGATATAATTTCTATATTTTATATCATATAAATGGATATCACTGTGTATATTAAGGGCATTTATGGGTGTTTGGAATTGGAACTTTCAATATGAATGGGGCACCTTACAATGCAGGCCTGGTACGAGAACCCTAAAGTTCAGGTATCTCTAATTTTGAGCTGCTGATCAGAGGAAGAACAGCCAGCCAACAGTACTCATCGCTCTTTGTAATGTATAACGGGATTCACTCTCACTTTATAACGTAGCCCCAACTGAAAATGTTCAACGACATTACGTCTCGAGCTTTGGAGTATTCGATTTGCAGACCGACGCACTAAGTACTAGGCCACGCTTGGCCCCCACATATATTTCTCATCCCCCCTTTATTTTAATTCTACACACGCTGCGGATCTTAGCATTAATTATTCGCGCCTCGTTGACGCAAAAAAAATCATGCTTCGCTTTTATAAGTGTGACAGTCAAATCCCATTATTCAATTATATTAGTTCAAGAGCTGAGGGTGGGTACTTTGACTAATTGCCTTCCCTCTAGTCTGTCAATTCAAAATTAGAGGTAGCTGGTGCTGACAGCTCTTGTATAGCTTTGTGCGAATATCCAAGCTGCTATCAATAAAATAAGATCACTCACAGGAACCGACATCAGTACACGCAGGTGCTCATTGAAAACTCTACAGCAAATGTAACAATGCGGTATTTTATCAGAAAGAATATGATTGGTATCCAATGTACTGTTGATAAAGATTCAACATTGTGCAACATTGAAATTACGAAATGATCACGAATCTTTCAGCAAGATACAAATTGCGTTATTAATGCGTTGTAAAACAGTCACAAGAGGATTAGTAACTATGGTATTTCTGTAACAAAAGTAATCATACCTCTACAAAACTTTGAATCCCTTGATTTTTAATTTTCATATCTATTCTGAAATTTTACTATCACGCTTACTCTATATAGAGTCACTTAAATATATGCAGTAACATTTTTGTACGCATTACAAAAGAAAAATTGTATACAGGTTAATAATTATAAATGTGATTTTACATTCACTTAATATCTTCTTTTTATTTTTTAAACTTTCTTTTGCTTTATATAGTAACTGGCGGTGTATACCTGAATCGTCCTATCCATTCTGCAGTTAACATAACTCGTGTTTTCATGAGCTTCTTATGTTGGTTTTTATTCAGCTTAGGTTACGTTTTGTTTTTGTTTGTTGTTAAGCGCAAAGCTACACTACTGGTGTCGAAACCCGGTTTTTAGCGTTATAACCTTCAGACTTACCGCTGAGCCACTGGGGGCACTAAGGTTTCACCAACAGAAAAGTTGAATATTTTGTGGCTTGTTTTTGTTTGTTAAGCACAGAACTACACAATGGGTTATCTGTGCTGTGCCAACGTGTATCGAAATCCGGTTTTTATCAGTGTGAGTCCTCAGACTTACCGGTGAGCCCATGGGGGAGGGGGGCTGAAAAGGTGAAGACTGTAAAAACATTGTTTTAATATACACTTGAAAGTTTTACTTTTTTGTAGATATTATTGGATTTACTTGGATTTCTTTCATTTGGGTTAAATGAAGGCGAGAAAAATCCGAATTATTCGAGATACAATAGCATAATAATGACTTGATCTCTTTCTAATAAACCTGCTGAACAAGCTTACGCCATGTGACCGACCACATTAGAATTAAACGACAGGGTCAATATTCGACAGGTATTTGCTGAGCTCTGCGATCCAAGGCCAACAAGATGATGACATCATGTTATTTAAAAATCCACGAGACAAGTTAGTTAACGTGTGGTGTTAAAAACTAAGACCTGTCATTGACCGTTTGGAATACCTAGAAAAAACTGTAAAACTTGCCAAAATGGGTCAACTTTTTACTAATTAACTGACTATCATTCAGTACAGGTCATCTAAACGTGTGTGAGGGGGGGGGGGAGGCTGCTAAGAACTGAGATACCATAATTTTTTGCACAACTGACCGTCAGAGAGCCAGGGTGGGGTTCGATTTCTTTGTGACGGGGCGGTAAGCACAGATGGAATGTGTGATTAGGGACAAACCTCGGCACTTCATTAAACCACAAAGCTTAGGCGCAGGAAAGGGCCCCTTGTAGGCGACCTTGACTGAGGCTGCAAAAAAAATACCAAAACAAAAAACCGTGAGATCTCAGTGGCTAAGTGTGTGGCAAACAGATGCAGAAAAAGGCTCAACGGGATGTGTTGATTACAAGTCGGTCACATCTACATGGGGATGTAGTGCACAAGAATACTCAGTGTTTCTTTTTGACTCAGAGACAAAAACGCAACCCATACCCTTCTTTCTGGTTGCCTCCATTCGACTCTCCTTTCTTTACCAATGCTCCCTAGTGATGATGAGGGAGACACACACACACACACACATATGTACAGCCTATTCAAGCATAGCAAAGTTAATTGCAAATACCCTAATTTTCAAAAGCAATTACGAAAATAAGATAATGATAATTGCTGAGTTATTCGGTATCCATTTGTAAAACTTTAGCTACTTTTCTTGCCAAATGATATGTGAAAGACTTGGGGAAAGCTGTCAAACGTAGAACACTAAGCATTAGCTGAGTCTCTTCAATAGATAAATGATAAGCAAATTTAAAACCTTATCATTCTTCAAAAACTTTCTCTAACGATGATGCCGTATAATTAAGACTGTATTTTATGATTATTGTTATTATTCTAGAAAATGGAAAATAATTCCGTTTATGTTCGTTTTTACATATTTAAGAATAACCTTGATATGACTGATATGTTCAAATAATATTACCAAAAAAAAGTTATGATATATTAAAGTTACTGAATGAAAAGTAAACTTAGGAACAGAAACTTCTTTTGAGAAAAATTACATGTTGTTTGCTTGTATGTTTGAGCTAGAGTCATTGTTGTGGAGCAAACTTATATAATAACTCAAAAGTATACTTAGCATTAAATATGCAATACAATACGAAAAAAGAAGGAAATTATAAAATTTAATAACACAAAAAAAATGTACTCTTTTATATTTTTATCAATAAAACCCTAAATTATTTTCTTCTACGATACACGTGTAACAATAAATACTCTATAAGATACATCTGATGTTTTGGCAATTTTAAGAAATATAGTATATCTGAAAAGCAGAATAAAATGGCTTAGTGCTATAAATACTGTTTAAACTATACTTAAACTAATTTTCATCTTGTTTTGTCTGAATAAAAATCATTTGCAAATGAAAGGTGTTGTATAAAACTTAATGACACTTTTTATAGTCCAGATCTGAGTCTACTTTATAAATTGTTCCTATTGTTTACCAACCAATAAAACAATAGTCTAAATTAAACGAATCATTGATGATCTACTACAACTAACTGGTCTGCTTCTTGTATAAAATCACTATGGTAAAGATAAATATACAGTGCCCATTTTTCTGAGGGAAGTAGTTAACCTAAGACGTTTGTATTTATGGTAAAATTACTAAGGTTATTTTCTGCCGTCTATAATTTTGAACTACTGATTAGAAAGAAGACAGCCAGTCAGAAGCACCCTACCATTCACGCTAAAAGATTGATTGTCACTCTTATAACGCACCCACAGCTTAAAGTGCAGGGAACACTTTATGGTATGGCACGGATTGAAACAAAATGACTTGCCAGCTCTGAAATCCAAAATTCTATTACAGGGGCAATGCGCGTCCAATTTAAAAGATAAAGTAGCGTTTCTTTCAGTTGAAGAAAACAAAAGGTTTAGTGAACAAAGAGGTTGATGTAAAACATTATCATTTTGCTTCTCATGGAGTCATATTTTCCACGAGTACATAAAAGTATAAGATTCTCTTTTTTTTTGTTTATCTTTTAAGTATCAGTTATAAACCAAAGACAAAGCTTCACGCCCACATAGTAAGCATGAATAAATGGACAGACTGCACTCAGTACACATGTACTAACAGGGTCTCTTTCTTCACTTCGTACGTTAACAACAGTCTCATAAGTGCACTCTTGTATTGATGGTTGAGTTTATTTTTTCAGGAATGAGGGTATTTACAGATACAATAAATACGAATATAATATATTTCGATTTTTAAAATGTTTACGTTTATTGGAACGCATTTTATGAGCCTTGCCCAGGGTATACTTTGAAATAGTATTCTTACATTATAAAAGCTTTCTAAAATCAAACCAGAGCTTTTAGAAGAAATATTCAGTTTTCACACACAAAAAACTGTCCAAGTTTTCTCAAAATATCCTATTAAGACACTGGTCACAAAAGTTTAAACAAAGTATCATAACCTTTTTAATTTCAAGGCAATTATAATCCTTTGAGATGAATGTTTTTTACATTTTTTAGAAATACACGACGTTGGTACTTGTGAAATGCACTTCTAAGAATGTTTGCTTACTATTTCGATGCCTGTGATATGATGAAGCCTTGTCAACAGTTCTCTGGATGATAACCATTCTCTCTGGTGTCTCGAGAGTCCCTGCACAGCAGCGCCAACACTAGCCGCAGCTACCATTGAAGGAGGATACATCGAAAACGTGAACTCTAGAAGTAAAAAAAAAAAATCTTGTATACATATTTGTTAGTAGGTTAACAAAGATAATTTTTCAATCAATGTTTACTGACGAAACAAACAAGGAGGAGCTGTAGTAAAAAATAATAATATAAGATACAGCTTATAGTGGTCTTAGACGATTTAAGCAGCTCAGCGTCTTTACCTAATAACTTTAGTTGTAAACTTTACCTACCTAAAAAGCTCCCCAGTGGCACAGTGGTATGTCTGCGGACTTATACCGCTAGAAACAGGGTTTCGATACCCGTGGTGGGCAGAGCACAGATAGCCCTTTGTGCAGCTTTGTGCTTAATACACAGAACAACGTTCCTATTTAAAAGCACCCCTTTCAAAGTGGGAAAAAATCAATATTTCGTATGCAAGATGACTTAACAGTGAAAAATATTACTTACAAACTTTGTCTTCTAAGGGTTTATGAATGAAAGCAAAGAAAAATTTGTAATAATATTCCAACTATACAAAATCTGCCATATTCAGAACAGACATCTTAATGGTCGAGACATTATTTATATCATCAAGTTCATGGACAGCAATTGTTACAGGGTGAACTAGATTAAGTAAGAGAATTTGTAATTATAATCAATTTTATTTAAGTCATTTATAAATTAGAATTAGGGCAACGATCGATAACACAACATTATTTATGTTTAACACCGATTATCAAGAAATACATCACTACAAAAACTCCGTTTTCAATGTGAGCCTTGTTGAATTATATTTCAGTTAAATTTTCGCAACTAGATGTTCTATTGTTTGTTGACAAGTTACTGATCTGTTTTTATGCTATTCACTTCTGGTGGAGATACATATTGAGTAATGTTATGTAGTTGAATGTTACAGCATCCAATACAAGGAACTGACCAAAAGAAAAAGAAAAAACGAGAGATGGTGAAATCACTTATTTATTTGTTTCTTGCATTTTTTTCGCGCAAAGCTACTCAAGTACTATCCACGCTAGACGTTCCTAATTTTGAAATAATAGACTAGAGGTAAAACAGCTAGTTAACTCCACCTACCTAGAGATCTTGAGCTAATTCTTGCCAACGAACAGGAGGACAGACCGTCACATTATAATTCCTCCACGTCTAAAGAGGCGGGCACGTTCCGCTACGGGTTTAAATTGCGCAATCTGCATATTATGAGTTGAGCGCCCTAACCACCAGGGATATTACTCATTTTAAGAGATTAATTGCATTATTGGTGGTATTTGTGTTTACGTATGTGGCGCATATGTTACTGAAGTTTCTATAACTAGTAAAGTTGTGGATCCACAAGCAATTTGCGCATAGACAATTTCAAAAAATGTGTTAAAATCAAATCGGGGCCGCCTTATACACTTTCATAGACAATTTCAAAAAATGTGTTTGAAATCAAATCGGGGCCGCCTTATACATTTGCATAGACAATTTCAAAAAAATGTGTTAAAAATCAAATCGGGGCCGTTTTATACACTTTCATAGACGATTTCAAAAAATGTGTTAAAAATCAAATTGGGGCTGCCTTGTACACTTTCATCGATAATACTAAAGTTAGAGACTGACATGTTATGAAAAAAGGTTAAATCGTCGATATTTCAGATTACAGATTAATGCAGAGGTCGTAACTTTCTCTGTATAAATTTCAACACTCACTTATTCAAACACATCTATTACATGTACGTAAAAATCAATATTGCGTTTCTGAGTTAGGGCTAGCCTGAAAATGATCTTTAACCAGATAATAGTTGATACTATTTTCGTGTTGAAATCATATTTGTGAAATAATAAAATATTATCCAACCAAACCTAATTTGTAACGTAATAGGAAAGCATCTACAAAAATAACATCTCACTCACTCACTCACACACACACAAAAACACACCAATAACAAAAAACTCCTCATTGTTATAGGTCATCTAGAGGTTATAACACATATAATTGATGTTATTCATCAAGATTGTGCTTCATATAATATTCATCCATGTTTAAGAGCATACGCTGAAGACTCAAATTTATCCAAAGCAGTTTGATTTTATTGCTAATAGCGTAAATTACCTTGGTGAGTGAACATTGCTTAAATTCTTTGTATTAAACAAAAGGCGATAGGGTTAATGGACTCAAATATTCTTTTTGCTCTTTTTTATGTTTCCCTAAGCTAATCCTTTCACCTCCTGCTCCAGTATCGTATGACATGGTAATTACATTATTCACTGAATCACTAATTCCATATAAACATTGGTAATAGTAGTTCTTTCTAATAAATTGTCAGAGATATTCTTAAAAAAAAAAGGTTTATAATCAATCCCCCCCCCCCACACACAATAAATAAAACGAAACAAAAACTTTACTTTGATCCTGATAAACATTACAACTACGTTAGTGCAGTGGAGAAATGATCTATGGTTTATGAATGAATACTTATATCTTTACGTAATACATGCGTTACAGGTGTTGTTCTGTAACATCTAATGTATTAATGAAAGCTTGCTAGAGCAGAGAACAACTAACTCTATTAAAAAGTTAAAACAGTAAAAACTGGAAAAGCAACTGTATTCAGTGTAAGAGAGAGCGATACTGAGTTGTTTATTGCTTAAATTCTCTGTATTAAACAAAAGGCGATGGGGTTAATGTATTTTTTATATAATTCTGCCATCGAAAAAGCTCGTTCTCACAGGTGACCGCTATGAGCTAAACAAGGCTTAGTTGCCGTCATCAAAACGCGCGCGAAAAGTAAAATAGGTCATACCTGTTTTAAACCGGCCTTACTGCATTCCATACATGATTTTGGCACTGCCCTCTATATTTACTGATGATTTCCTGCACGCATTGAGGATTAGAGTACTTTCAGACTTCACTCATTGCTGGTAAAGGGGGAACCAGCTTTGCTTTTTCTGAGACGGCAAGGTCATGGACAGGTGTCGCTCCTGAACTACAGAAGAAAGATTCTTGCTGTGGTAGATTATCTTTCCCGGATCTTTGTTTTTTTTTTTAAATACGCCAGGAAAAAGAATAATCCGTTTTTTTTTCCACTTATATCGAAAAATTTTTCCCACACAAACTGTTTCACAAGCTGACAAAAGTTGACAAGAAAAAAGATCAGAAATGATACATTTTAGGTCTTTCCAAAATAAACTGTTGCATTTCTAATTAATTCAATTCAATAAATCCTGTTCTTAAAATAGCCATACAACATTCTGGACGATAACAACTTCCATGTATTATGCAATAAAGAAAATAGTACATTTTAAAATTACACGAAATAAGATTGTCAAATTATTGTCTTCAAGAAATGTTTAGAATTATGGTAGCACGAATAACTCACGTTATTGTGCTCGTTTGACGTTTAATTCAGTTTACTGCATTCACGTGAAAATAAGTGAAGATAAAATCATGCCTTTTTTTTCAAGTTACAATATGATAGAATAGCTTAACCAATTATTAATATCGGAAATCTGTCGAATATGTGAATTATCTCTTTCACTTTTTTTTATTTTTGAAACACATTATAAATTGTATTCAGTCAAAGAATTTGTTAACAGTAAGAAATAAAATTTTAGTGTTTTTCAGGTACTGTAGAAATTAAAATATCTAGGAACTTTGTAGGAAAGCACCTTACAAAAATGTCTTATCGTTTTTGAAAGAAACTCACGGGTTATTTAGAAAAATATTGAAATATTTTGCCAACAAATTATTATTAATTTTCATTAGAAGAGTGAATTTTTAATGGAATTGAAATTACTGATATTTGATTACAACTAAGTGCCTTGTCCAGCTTAACTTTTTACCGAAATTATATTTTTAAAGTAATATATATAATAAGAAAGGCCACATGATTGAGTGAAACAGAGTATAAAGAGAAAACTGACACGTTGATTTTCTCTGTCCATGAATTTTTATAAATCTGATTACGCGATTCATCAAATGCTATTTAAACGTTAACTAAACAGATGACTCAGACTAGTCTCTGGCAACTGTTGCTAGAATTTATAAGACAAACGGAAAAGGGTCTTCATCTTGTGGCTGCAGTTGCATGAAGTTCAGATAAGTAAGGGATATAAAGGGAAGACAGTCAAAATACATTTTACACCATTTAACAACACATTAGTACCATGAAACGAAACTCAGAGTATATTAATTTTACTTAGCAGAATTTTTCTAAACCGCAAAATGTTGTCCCTCGGTGGGACAGCGATAAGTCTCTAAACTTACAACGCTAAAATCCGATGTTCGATTCCCCGCGGTGAACACGACAAACAGCCTAATGTGGCTTTGATCTAAAATAAATAAACTAAACCGCAATTTAAGTTTATGTTTACAGCTGAATTAGGAAATTTAAATGTATTGATTATACATACAAAAGCTATGAAGTGGATTTTACATGTTTTTTTTATCTAATAATGTAAGTAATAAAATATAAAAAGTTCAGTTTAGTTTTGCCATCAATATGTGTAGTAGTCCGAAGATGCACTTCATAATGAACCTCTTCTAACAACTATGAACTTTACTCATTTACTCATAAACCACCAATTTTAGAGATTTCACATTGAACCTAAAGCTGCTGAAATTATGCAACGATATGACCCTTACAATCTGAACCGAACAAATTTCCTCTCATCTGCCCTTGCATAAGATGTCTAAAACATCCACCTACGAAAGTAAAGAAATCTTCGCGAAAGGCATCAAGTGCACGTTCACGCTCAGCAGGCCAAGGTGACCACTTAACCTCACCTACCTTGCATCCGTGTCTTGAATAGAAGGAGCATAAATAAACACATGAATAGTTAATGGTGCTATCAGGCGACATAAAAGAAACACCTTTAATACTGTAGATCTCGTTCTGTAAACGAGTGATCACAAGGTAATGAAAATTTATTATTAAAACAATAAAGGTTAGATGAAATTCAAAATGTACGACCGTAAAAAATAGTGCATGACAAATAACACACAGTGATTAGGTCTTGAGATTTAATACAGTTTCTACTGATAAGCAGGA